ATGCAACAAAAATAATTATTAATTAAATTAAAAGTTTCACGGTTTTACGAAAACCAACAAATTATCCGCAATCATGAGTTCAGATATAACATTTCTAATATTGCTCCACCGATTGCATAACAAAATACTATTAAAAACAAAATAAGGAAATCTTATCTAAATACGATTCTAAGATGGTCGTTATATTATCAGCTTCAGCTTTACGGCTTTCCGAGCTTGATATAAAATGATAATCCAGCAGTCGAAAAACTAAAACAGTGAATGACGATCGTGCCTCCGCTTGTTTGCATTTCTGTGTTTATGTAAATGTAGTTCAGGGTTCAGTGCGCGGAGGAAGATGCGCAGTGACTGTGCGCACAAGTTGTGGTTACAGAGGTCCGTGGGGCCGATGGTAGAGAATGCTTCTAACCCATTGACGCTGCAGTTCGGCGTCTTCTACACCGATCTGACGCATATCGCGCAAGGTGTGCCGGGAGTTTGTTCGAAATTTCGACGTTTCGAAGTCAATCGTCGATTGGCACGTATTTTACGTATATATTTAATCGTTCCAGAGACCTGTTTACTAAATAATGATAAATGAAACTTAGAAAACTTGTAAGAACAAACTGGGCCCAAATTGCGCAAATTGCAATAAGTTTACGCTGCTAGAGTCTGGTTCGGACGGAGTTCTACGCGTGATTTTATTGCGCTCAAGGACGTTCTATTTTCGAACTAGTTGAAACCGGAAATAACGCAACTACTTTCGAACTTCAAACACAAATTTGATTATCGATATTATGTGTTAGTTTCTGTTGTTTTAAAGATTAAATTATGTATGACAGACAATACTATTTCACTCTATATACAATATTTCACTAAAATATGTGATTCAAAAGCAACCAAAATTGTAAAAAGCAATATCAAGTTCCGCGTATAAACACTGTTGTAAAGAGGCGGCGGAGCGGAATTTTAGCCAAAATCGGCTAGTAAGGCGTCATATGACACAGGTTTGTGCTGGGACAGCGCTTCCGGTGACGACACAACGCGTAGCCCTGCGTACAGTGTTGTGTGTACGGGGACGCGTTCGGTTGATAGATGTCCCCACCACAGCCCTGCGAACTTCCATAGACAAAGTCCGGGACTTTGAAAAATATAACTTTTTTAATGAAATAATATGCCCAGGTACCAAAAATGATGATCGATTACCAGATATATCCAGAACTCCCAGTTCGGAGTCCAACTGTGGATGAAATCGGCTACTTTGCCCTAAAAACAAACGCATTCTCTCGCGTGAATGAAATTAAAAATGGCGGCGTTTGGTGGATAATTCCTCCGGTACCTATGCGTTTAGAATTTGTCCGTCTTTACTAGTCGTTTTTTTAAAGACATTTCAGTTTCAGATAACTTTATAATGGTTGTTACGGATAACTATCGTCATTTCAACCGATTTCGGCTGGGAAACTACTTATTTTTAACTTGCGCACCAATTACGGTGCGCTCCCGGACTTTGTCTCTGGAGGTACGCAGGGCTGTGGTGGGGACATCTACAACAGAATTCGATCAAGCTGCCTCACCCACGTAGTTTTGACGTTCCGTTATTAAATTGTAACAACCTTAATTTAGTTACATTGAAGCTTAGTGGCCATCGAAGTCGATGCAAATAATGTATAGAGAACACGCTGTCCACAGCCTTGTTGGTCATAAAAATGTATAGCTTATATTAATCATGGAAGTATTACACTCTCGTGTTTTAATTTGTATCGAATGCAAAGTAATATTATTTCAAACATTATACATATAGACTTTAGTTTATCAACTCGCACATACACACATACAAATTATCAGACTTCTAATAAAAAAAAAGAGATTAAATAAACCTGAAAAAGGTTGTTTAGTTTGAGTTGCCAAGCTG